AACTCTTATTCGTCTAATTTTTTTCTCAAACATCAGTTCTTTGGAATTCGCTTCCTTCATCTTGCTTTCCTAATTCATATAATTTGCAATCTTTTAAGTCGTCTGTCAATCGTTATCTTGCTTTACAATCTTCATCTTTTCTCTTCCAGTAACTTCAATCACCAATTAGCGGTTGTTTGCAGCCATGTTGGAAGCGAAGATGACGAAAAAAAAAAAAATGTTCAATACTTATGTTTGTATTCTGTTTGATCTTCTGGCACAGTGTTTATCCACCCGTAAGTTCTTAATTATGTTTGTGTTGTGTCTAAACCCCTGGCGCGGTATCTGCTCATCCATAAGTTACTATATAAATGTTTGCATTCTGCTTGAATCTCTGGTGCAATGTTTGTTCAGTTAACAACTAGTGACTACATCTATATAACATTTACCTTAATTTTCAGTATTCTTTTAGATCTAATGTTTTGATAATTAATTTAATTTGCATTTCAAAAATTTCGGCGTTGTTAAGAGTTTTTTTTTTTAGGCAAATGCGAGAAGATTTTTTAGGCTTTTTAGGCAAATGCGAGAAGATATAAACTCAAACTTAAATGTTCTCTATCTTGGGGCACTTGAATAAAGCATAGAGATCGCGTCACACTAAAAATAATTATCTAGAGCTGATGTTTATTGAAATTAAGCTACTGCTTTATAGAATAAAAACCATCACCGCCACTTAACTTTTTAAAAATATCTTTTTTACAAGGACTCGCGGTCTTTGAAGTAACTTCCCATCAATTAAATCTTACCTTTTGAAAAATGAATATCGCTTGCTCATTTTGAGGTTAATTTAATATTGCCTTTTCCTTCTCAGTATTGATGGCTACTATCCTTTGATTTGACACCAAACATTCACCATGCTTAAAAATTCGTGAAATAATCACATGCGTGAATTACGTCACTTTAGCTTTTTTTCGAGAAATCAGGTTTGAACCATCTGATTATTATTTTATGTGCTTCCGTTTAGAACTTCTTTAATCTATTATCTTACTCTTTATTCTTTTTCTTTCCCCGGCCATGCAACATGGTTTCGACCATACAATGATCTCTATAAATCTTTTATGTTACATTACTTTTTTGTGACAATCTTTGGGCTGATGACTTTTCCCTCTCCGCTGATAAATACGTCTTTTACGTAACCTCCTGGATCCAGGCAGGTATAGTAAGTAAGCTTTTTTCCTTTTTTTTCTTGGTTTTTAGTCAAGTCTCATTTAATTCCATGGTTTTTATGATTTTATACATTTTCATACTTGCGGTACAGCAAATCATTTTTTTCATCTTTTTTATAAGAACAGCTCTCTTGGAACAAACGCCTTTTCCTTGTTGCAAGAAATCAATGTAACAAGGTGTTGTCCAATGTTAAGCTCCATCATTCCAAGTTTACAAAATCTCGTTTCTTATCTCAGAAGTTAGGATCTAGAGAATTTTGAAAAACCTCGTCATTAGTCGTCATTAGTCGTCATTCGTCGTCATTCGTCGTCATTAGTCGTCTAAAATTCCATCTCTAATTCATGAGAACCAGTATGGCTTTTATTGTTCTCGTTCTATGGATGACTTGCTTACTGCTGTGATTGAAACATTCTATCGTGCAGTTGATGGAGCCAGCGAGGCAAGGAGTTTTCCTCTTGACATATCAAAAGCTTTTGATAAGTTTAGCATGTTGGTAAGCTTGTTTTATATGGTCTTTTTGAGAAAATTTTTGAGGTTATCAACCCATTTTTTTCTAGATGCATTATTAATGTCATCCTCACCCTTCATCATTTCTATTAACTCCTCGAGCATTTTAATAGTCTATTCTTGGTCCTGAATTGTTTCTTATCTACATTAATAATCTTTCTGTCAATCTTACATTTAAAGTGACTCTCCAGAATTAACTTTATTCTCCTGTCTAAAGTAGCTCTTTTTGATGATGACTCAAATTTATTCTCCTGTCTTGACAAAAAGTCTTCCCTTTTCAATTGTTTAGAACTCGCAACCAATCTTGAGTCTATTCTCAATTTTGCAACAGCTTGAGGCTTGCATTGGCTTGTAAATTTTGACTGCAACAAAACTCAGTTATTTACTGCAAACAATTATTGCAATACTGTCGACATTTCTGTATTAATGAATGGCATCTCTCTGACAGAGTCCTCTTCTTTATGTTTTCTTAGATTATCATTCACTACTTACCCTTCAAGTAAACCATATATACAATCAATTTCAAAGTTAGAATCTGCTATGGTTGCTTCTCTTTATCGCGCTCGTCATTATGTTACTTTTGACTCCATTCTTTACATTTACAAATCCCTTATTCGTCTGTGTATGGAAAACTGTTGTCATATTTGAGCTGATTCTTCTAATAATCGTCATTCTCTTCTATACAAGGTTCAGAACCGCATGCTAAAAATAGTTGGATATGCTTTATCTTCCAAGCATAAGCCACTCTCCCATCGTTGTAAGGTTGCATCTTTTTTTTTTTTTTACAAATACTGTCCTGTTTGCTGCTCAAAGGAGCTATCATCTCTAGTTAAATTAACCAAAACTCATTTTTGCTAGACTAGTCATTTAGCAAAGTTGTATCCTTTAAATGTGTCTATTTCATCATGCTCTAAAAGCTTTTATTTGTCTAATTTTTTTCCCTGAACTTTAACCCTTTGGAACTCTCTCTTATCTTCATGTTTTCCTGACTCAAACAATCTACAACATTTCAAGTCTAACCATTTCTTTGGTCATTAACACTATTTTTTTGTTTCCTAGTAACTCCCAACTAAACAACTTTTTTTAAATAACTTATAATTAGGTCTTTAAAACCGTAAGGCTTTAACTTCTTAAGTAACATTTCGTGATTAATAACATTTCAAGTCTTCTTCGTGATTAACAGCATTTCAAGCCTTCTATTAACCATTTCATTGGTCATTAACACTATTTTTTGTTTCCTAGTAACTCCCAACTAAATAGTGGTTGTTTACAGTCTTGTTGGGAGTGAATTAGATTAAAAAAGAAAAAAAGTTTCTGACTACTCCAGCACAAAATATTATTTGGTGTTTTTTTAATCAACTTATATATAAGGCCTTTAAAACCGTAATGCTTTAACTTCTAAAGTAAAATTTCGCGATTAACAGTATCATAAACTTTTGAAATATCGATAATATTTCAATGCTCCAAATATTTATTATTCACCTTTAACAAAGGACATAGATATTTTATTGGCAAGTTCAATAATAGCATGTTCAGTAAAACAGTATTTCTGAAATCCATATTCATTTTTGTATAGAATGTTATGTAATATATTTTGTATAGAATTTTATGTAATATATTTTGCATAGAACGTTATGTAATCATAAATTCTATTTTAATTTACCCTTTCAAATATTAAAAAAAAAAATACAGTGTAGTGATAAAGGACCACAGTTTAAAAGTATAACAATTACCTTTTATGAAAACCTTTTTAAAATTTTTAAATACATCTTTTGTGAATAACAAACAATTATGATTTGGGGGTGCAACCATTGCCAACGGTTCCACCTCAAGGTGAGAAACCCAAAATAAACCACATCAAAAACTGTTGGGCAAGTTAAAAACAGATGTTTCTTAACTATCCTTACTAGTAGTTTTGAAAAATGTCATAATGAAAACGAGGTTTAATAACATAAAGCTAATTTATTGTGAAAAAACTTGTTTCATTATGGTTGCGAAGAATAGTGGCTTTTCTGAAGATTTTAAAGTAACACAACATGTTTTTTACAGAGAGTTTTTTATTTTTTATTTTTTTTTTTGATTATGTATTTTGCTTTTTGAATTAAAATCTTTTCTAGCAATAAATGCGTACACTATCGGTAGTCGGATCTTTTTGGCCATAACTGTAGATTAAATAAAACATTCTACGTGCGCATAACAATACTTTTACGTAATTTTCATGCGTATATAAATATTTTTTAACAAAAAAAGACCTTTTAATAATTTCAACTGATGATTGCAATATTTTATAGCTCTGATTTAATTCATCGATTTTGATCTGGTATCATCTTATGTATCGCAAAATACACAAATAAAACCTTATTTAAAAAGTAATTTGTTTTATACTCAATGAGTTTGTAAAATGAAAATGTTCAAAAAAAATGTTCTTTGCTACAAAAGCTTTTGTAGCAAAGAACATTTTTTTTGCAATGTATTTGTCCTTTATTTTTGCTCATATTTTATTCATCTATATTATAGGGTAAACCCTCAGTGATGTTAATGGGCAAACCCTAAAGTAATTTTTTGACTCTAATCAAATTTTTATTATCAAAATCTCTCGCTATTTTGTCTCTTAAATAGCCGCGCGCTACCCTGCATTAATAACGATTATTGTAACTTTGTTTCCACATTGTGTGAAGTAGATTGTGATTTATACATAGACGTGTACAACGTCTATGCATAAATCGTATTATTCTTTTTTTTCTCTCTATGCATACATATAATGATCTATGCATACATATAATGCTTACATATAATGACCTTTTAATTGCTATAACAACTATTGCAAAAACAACTTTGTAAAAAAAGATGTTCATTTAGCAAATGGTATTTAGTGTTTATCTTAGCTTAATATATATAGAGTTCCAGATCCAAAGAGAATTCCAAATATTTAAATGTTTATTCTAATGTTAAATAAGAATGCTTCGTTAAAGATAACAAAAATTAGGAAACATGGAAACAAAAAAATTCCCACCCCCCCTCCTCCTCCTACAACGTGAGTGCAACAAGTATTTTATTAATGTTACAACCTTATAATACAGCATTCGATGTTTTGTTTATCAATATAAAAACTTAAAAAAAAAAAAAAAACATAAAAAAATCACCATTTGTATTAAGTTCTAAGTTTTAATAGATCATTTAATAACTACTTCGCCCCCTACCTACTTTAATGAGCTTGCTTTAATTATTTTTACCATTATAAGTGGAAAATGAATTAAAGCCTTAATGCAATAATTATTGTTCAGTATTCAAAGGAGCGTAGTAACCGGCTTTTAAAAGGACTTTCACCACGATGGAGTTTAACGATTAATCATGAATGTTTTTATAAAGCTTGCTGTGTGTTTTTAGCACAATTATCTTTTAAAGCGGTAATGAAACATGTAAGTAAAAAACTTTGTATAAATATTTTATTAAGTTTTTAAAGTTTTTATTCCTTTACTAATAATTATTTGCAATATTTATGAAAGTTATATTTGACGAAAAAAGTAGTTGAAATATTTTTTAGTTAAGATGTAGGAGAGCCATTTATTAAAAACTTTGTTTGTTCAATTATATTAAGAGTATTTACAGACTTGTTGGTTTAATGCGTGCGTTCAGACTTGTTGGTTTAGTGCGTGCGTATGACTTTAGTTTCAATATCTTTAATAAATTAATGTATAAAGTATAAAATACCAATATTTTTATCAATAGCATGTAGCAAGACAAGTAACTTTGATCATAATCTATTTTATTAACTGGTATCTTAATTTTCTTATAGCAAAAAGTTACAAAAATGAATATTTGTGGGAATAAAAGTCAAAGTTAAAGAAATAAATAGTTGTAAAGGAATTCAAAATATCGAGAATAAATGTTTTGAATTTAAATTTTTATTAACTTTATCTGCAAAGGGCGTTTAAAGTTTATTACTACTAATTAGGTAGTAAAACACAGAATTCAATATGAGTTGACTGCTATTTATAACTATTTTAGTTAAAAAAAAAATTTATATATATATATAATTTTTCAAATTAAATATATATATATATATATATATATATATATATATATATATATATATATATATATATATATATATATATATATATATATATATATATATATATATCCTAATTCTTATTAGAACATCGAAGATTTTTTAGCTTTCTATTCTCTTTAAATGCTAAAAATCAGAGATAATCTGATTATTAATACAAATATAAAAAAGTCTGAAAAGAATTTCTATTAATTTATTCGACTATCGGTCAGATTATCTTGATTTGGTTAATCTCTAAAATGATGGAAAGAATTTTTGGAAATGGAAAGAATAATGGAGAGAATTATAAATATTTATATATATATATATATATATATATATATATATATATATATATATATATATATATATATATATATATATATATATATATAGTTTTTTTAAAGTTATAAATAATAAAAAAAACTATTCAACCATTTTAAATAGAAAGTATATTAAACTAAGGTATTTGATCAAGAAATTAAAGTTAAAAATATTTTAAAAATTTTATTTTTATTTTTTACTTATTATATTTTTTAACTTATACAACTAACACATTTGAATTCATTGTTTTATCGGCAATTAAGTTCGTCGTCATGATTTGACGCTTACTTAGTTTGTCGTCATGATTTGACGTTTACTTAGTTCGTCGTCATGATCTGACGCTTACTTAGCTATAGGCAGCAACATAAATTTCATTAAAGATCAAACGTCCAGAGTTATATAATTTTTTTTCTAAAAAAGTAAATCTATATACAGTATATTACAAATAAATATCCAAACGCGTAAAACAAATTTATTATCGTCTATATTTACAATAATTAATGCATATTTATATCTTTATAAGTTTTTTATGAATTCCTATTTGATATAGAGGTATTCCATGAGGAAGTGGGACAGGCATGTAACCCCTATTTGATATAGAGATATTCCATGAGAAAGTGGGACAGGCATGTAACCCACCATCTCAGATTTCTTTCATACTTTGTAAAAATGGTCACCTATATAACATAGACTAGCTTGCAAAATTTTAGCACTGATATCAAAGGGGTTTTGGAGATATCGTTACTTTTAAATCAGCTATTTTTTGCAGTTTTTTTGTTCAGCGGCCATTTTGATTTTACTATAGTTTTTGTTTTACAAGTTACTGTTCAACTAAACATATAATTAAGCTGAAAATTAGCACCAGAATAGTTTTTAAGACAAGGAATCAGAATATAATATTCCCTCTGGGAAATCGGCTAGCGAATAGCTAGCTATAATGGCTACGATAAAGACAGCGATTTGACCACGAGGATCGCTAGCTTTTTTAAGTTAGCGAAAAGCTATCGATATTTTTAAAGATAAAGACAGCAATTTAGCTATGAGGACAGCTAGCTTAATAAGCTGAAGATCCACTGGCTATTGTACCTAGCGTCATATCGTTGTCTAAAAAATTTTGATATGTAGCTATCAACCAGCTATAGATTTGTAGATATTTTGTAGCTTGCTACAAAGCTACGATATGTAGCTAGCGACACATTGCTACAAAATCGCAATGTTTAAAGTTCAATTATTTTCAAAATTATATTAGACTCACCACTAAAAATCGAATTTTTAAAGATGTTAAAGACATTTGCAAAAAATAAAATAAGAAAAAAAAAATCGCTTCAAAATCGCTATAGAGCTAGCTAGTCGCTAGCTCTTTTCCCACCGGGTTTGTTTTTATTGAAAACAGTTTGAAGTTTATCAATATTGGGATTGTACTTCACCTATAGCAATTTTTGAAATTTTAATAAAGGCGGAAAGGAGGTCTGGTAACCATGGTAGCATTAATTTATTTTAATTTTTTTTTGTTTTTATTAAAATAGATATATTAAAGAATGTTTTGGTGCAAAATTGAGAGGTGGCTTTTTTGAGGATTTTTAAAAATAATTAAACGAATTATAATGAAAAATTACACTTGGATGTTACTTATTAAGAAATTGTTTATTTTGAAAATTTCCATTATAAGAAAAAAAAAAACATTAACAAAAGTTGAAATTAAAAATTCATTAGAAATATGTAATATATAGAGTCAAAACAATCAAACAAATACAATTTTTAAATAAAAAATTAGTCAATAAAAAACCAGAACTTGCATCTGAATAATTCATAAATTGCTTATAAAAGAAAATTGGTGTAATATGATTGAGTTAATTTAAAGATTGGATTTTGGGCAAATCATCTATTAGGTAAATGAGGATGCATGAATTTTACAAGGGCGTCTTCATTTCTTTCATCAACTTCAAATACCAAACCAACCCAGTTAAACATATCATATTTGCAGATATAATATTTTCCTGCAATGAATTCTTGAAGATAATGAATTGAGCCAGTAAGGTTGAAAGATTAAATTCCTCCTGCTCAGAGACTCTTTTGACATTTATGTTTGTTGCATCCTATGGAATATATTGGTGGAAACTTCTTGTACCAGGTAAAGTCTTTGCATTATTCAATCGGAGAGTCAGAGATTTACGGACTAATAAAATATCTTCGCCTTTTAAAAAAAAACGTGGATGGCAAATATATTATCTTTTGAAAAATTAAACAATTGGATGCTGAAGATTAGCATTTGAAATAAGTCTTTTAACTGTTCCACCAATGCCATCACATGGTGACTTTCCATGTGATGTTGCAAAGAAATTCCATTCACATTGCATCCCAAAATTTTCAACATGATGGCATAAATTTAAAAAGTGTTTGCAATTTTTGCACTGACTAACACAACCATCAGAGAAATAGTGGATTTTCATGGTATTGGGAAACATTTCTTATACAAATTGGACAGTTCTTTTTATTATACAATAAATAAATCCAACATGTGTTAAGTCATCAGATATAAAGCATAAAGACGTTGGTTGACTTTTAGAACCAACATCATTTTTGTTATAAATAACTACAGGATGTAGTGTGCATTGTTGTTGATTCCAGTGGTAACTCTGGATTTCGTCTTGTATAAAAAATTTAAAATTTTCTGCAAAATCAACTAAAATAGTAATTTTATTTATGGGTATAGATGACTTTAATGTACTTAAATATTTACTTTGTGCTTTAGCAATATAAGAGTGAGATGCTATCAAGTTTTTCACTAAGACTTTCAATGAATTCACTTATTGTAGATGTGTAACTTAGAAGCTCTGCTCTATCTGTTGTACTCCACTGTTTATATTCAATTATTTCATCTTCATCCACTTTGTCGTTCTCTTCAAATGATCCTTCATTTTGCAATAGATTTGCAGTTAGATAGTTTATAATATTTTGAATTCTAGGGCATTGATTACAATTATAGACCATACATTCCCTTGACTCTCTACTACAAACAATCTTCTTAATAAGTTCATGGTAAATTTTCTCCAGTTTAAATGCGCTAAGCAAGCTTTAGGTTTTGGTGTTTTGCACATATACAAACAGCATAGGTTCCTTTTTGACCAGCATAAAAAAAACATTTTGATATTAACTGAGAAAATTTGGAAAATCCTATTTTGGATTGAGGGTGCTCTAGTTTGAATTCAATAAATAATTCCTTTAAATTGCGAAGAAGTAATCACTTTGATACATGTTTATTTTTGGATACACTTACAAAATCTTTTATACCTGGCAACTGCCTACTAAACTGATCATTACAATAGAAACTTTCCAACTTATTTATGATATCTGATTTAATTCTAACTATGTTAGTTTTTTCTGGAAGTGTTAATATTCCTTTTTCAAATTTAAGTTTTCTTGCTTTAGTTATGGTTGACTTTGATATGTTAAATACTTCAGCTGCTTTCCTTTAAGACCATGAATCTGGAACCAATGTTAAAATCTGAATCTTTTCTCTTCTATTTGCTGTTTTCAGCTTTTCTTGCATTGAAAGTATCAATTTATCTAAATCTTCAGCTTTCTTCTGATTTTCATTGGGCTCCCCAGTATCATCATTTTTCAGGTCTGTTAGCTTAAATTTGAGGATAATTGATAGCTTTTTTGAAATAACATCAGTAGCTTGCATTAATTTTCTTTTTCCTAGAGAAATTTTAGCATGTTGTGAAACCCCATAAAATTTTACTGGTGATACATCTAATTTATCAAAACTGGTGTTTATAAGTTCTTTTTCTTGTGCAATTTCTATCTGTTCAAATAATACGTGACACTTTTTTATGCATTTTTAGAGACCCCCCCTCTCTCCCCTATGTGACATTTTGTGGCATTTCAAAAAACTTCCCCACCCCCACCCCTGTGTGACGTGACAAAGACTAAAGTTTGGAATTTTCACAAGTGTCTATTTAATTGTAACAGTTCATATTAAAAAAAAAATACAATTGACATGTTTCTGTTTAAGAAACATGTTCAAAATATGTTCCCAAA